AACGGTAAACTGAGCTTTCAGGACTCCCAGAGGGTCTACTGTACAAGGGAAAAACAGGGTCGGGGCATCCCGAGGAGGAAGAGCACTGGAAAACACCTCGAGGATGCAGCTATGTACTGGATTAAATTGTGTCCCCCCAAAAGTCATGTCTACCTGAAACCTCAGAATGTGACTTTATTTAAGAAAAGGCTCTTAGCAGATGTAATTAGTTAAAATGAGGTCCTACTGGAGTGGGCTGGGTACTAAATCCAATATGACTGGTGTTCTAAGGAGAGGAAAGGACACAGAAAGAAACAGAGGACAGAAAGCCATGTGGAGACAGAGGCAGAAATTGGAAGTGATACAGCTACAAATGAGCGAACACCAAGAACTGCTGACAAACACCAGCAGCTAGGATTGCATTGTCTCAGCATCCACAAGGGCCAACCCTACTGACACCTACATTTTGAATGCCTGGCCTCCAGATCTGTAAGAGAATAAATTTCTCTCTGTTGTTTTAAGCCACCCAGGGTGTGGAAATTTTTTTATGGCAGCTCTAGGAAACTGACATAAGCTGAAAACCCCAAAGAACCATATCCTAGAAACAAGGCAGACGCAGAAATACAGGAGCCCTCATAAATGCAGAAGCCCAGGTGTCAACTGGCTCAATCTGTGACTGGATTAAACTGATCTTCCCTAACTGCCTGAGAAGTTAACAGCAAAACCTCTCTGAAAAAAGATATCATCCCAAGCTTCAAATCATCTCTACAATCCTTCATACACAATATCTGGCATTTGGTCAAAAATACCAGGCATCTACAAAGACAAGAATATTTTCAAAATCCAGACAATAATGAATATAAAGGACTTCTCGCTATAGCCAAGTGTGAAGGTTAACAAATTCCCTCCCAAAAAGCAACTATGAAACTGGACCAAATGACAAAAACAACTGTTTCAGCACTCTATAAACTGACTTCAAGGCTTACAATCTAAGAGGTGTTTGTACTTTAAAACTACTGAATTTTAGATAGGAACGGTAACAAAAGTGCAACAGTGGGAAGAGTTACAAAAGTAGAACAATAAAAGACACTATCTCAAGTGTCAGGGGCAATAGGGAGAGGTGGAGACTGTGGTGATCTACAGCACTTTTGCCCAATCTACAGAAGGCAGGAGGACTGGGCTCCAACCAAAGTCAATAGTAAATGTGAACCCAGAGTCGCAGATCTTCAAGTTTAAGAAAAGTTAGAAATCCATATTTCAACATAATTATCTCATAACTTTTCAATGTTGTTTTATGTATACTATACAGAACACCAGTTACCAAACCCAGCCCCGCATGCCCCTAACCCCAGATGACTGAATGCAGTCATGCCTCTGGCAGACTCAGCACTGTCCACTGTACTATGATTTCCAAGGAGACATCATTTTGGTCAGTCCTTACTTTTTCAGCTTTTCTCTCTTCAAATGGTAATGTTGCTCATTTGTAAACAGAGCTAATGCAGCAGTCTTGTGGATTAATTCACCGTTATTTATCTTTCCTGTCACTTTCAATTTAGTTCACTGAGCCCCAGTGGTCTACAGAGGAGCAACATTGGGCGTCAGGCCCAATACCAGAGGAGGGGGGAGCTGGGAAGAGCCAGGAATTTGACATCAATCTGACCTGGGTTGGAATCCTCAGCTCTGCCATTTACCAGCTGTGGGAACTTGGGCAACTTATTAACCTACTTGAGCCTCGGTGACATCCTCTGGAAAATAAGGACACCCTTGTCTACCCTGGAAAGTCACTGCCAAGTTTTCATCAAGCACCAGCTCCAGCAGCTCTGTACCAAAACCTGGGCTTTGCAGGGGCTTTCTCATGGAGTCCACACCACAATCTTGCAAGGAAGGGTCTGCTATTAACCTCACTTTGCACATGAGGAAACAGAAGCTCAGAGAGGGGGTGTCCCAGAGACCTCATGTATGGCAAGTCACAAAGCAGAGATTTCAACTTTGTCGTCTGACTCTAGAGTCTGATAGAAACTGCTAAGTTACATAAAGGGCCTAGCCCAGCAGCTAGCAGGGACGGAGGGACAGAATGATGCTCATTTCCACCAGATTCCATCTGCTTCATTCTGCCTAAAAAGGTCATCCAATGGCTTTAAGGACAGCCTCAAGAAGCCATTGATCTGATCTTTCCAGCTCTTAGCATTTGAAAGCCCGAGGGCTTCCCTCCCTTGTGAGGCTTTTAATCACTCATTCAACAGCAGGAAAGAGGTTTTAATCAGCCAAGGACTATTCTGCACCAGTGAATAGTTAATTAACGCTGCCAACAGTGATGGCAAAAGCCCTTGGCAGCCACTCCAGGGCTAACCCAGTTTGGTCTTCCCCGCTTCTCATTGCCCAGGAGGCAGCCCAGCACATCCTCTCAGCAGCAAACGAAGCCAGAGAACCGTTCTTCAGTCTCCTTGGGATGCAGGTGCAGAGACCGTGCTACAGTACAGGGACGTGGCAAGAACGTGAATGCCGGCCATGCCTTGTAAACGGGGTGGCACTTCTCTGGTTATCAGGGCCAAGTAACAGACAGACAGGAATTCTAGTCTGAATAGGAGCAGATAGAGCCATTCTTCATGGCTAAAAGGTCGAGCCTTAAGGGGGATGAGATGGAGGAAGAGGTTAAAAGGTAAAAGGGTATTGAGGAAAGAGGGCAATTGGTTAAACATTTATGAGGTGCTACGCGAACTGAAGCAGATCTTTACATGAGTCTCGCCAAATCCTCCTGACCAGCCCCCAGGCAGACAACACGAACCACCTTTACAGGTGAAAACAACTAAGCCTCCGACTGTTCCCAGGGTTCTACCAAACTCACCCTCACATTCTGACTCCAAAGCCAGGGTTGCTCTGCCAGGGCTGGCAGCTGCCCTCACCTAAATGGAAGCAGAGCCAGAGCCTCACCGGTTTCGTTAAGGTAGCCCCCGCCCCACACACCACGCCGCCCAGACGGGTAAGATGGACACGAGGGGGGCTGTAGGAAAAGCTATGTCCTTGAACAGCTCATCGACCAGCCCAGAGCCCTCGGCCACCCCCTTGCAGGGGCCCAAGAAAGCATCCTGGACACGGGACAACAGAGACTGACATCTGAGGTGGCCAAGCAGTTAGCAGTGGTTTCTACAAAAACTAAGGCCGTTGATGCGGCTCTTCCCTGAGCCAGCCCCCTCACGTCTATGACTGTTAACAGAGGGACCCAAGACACAGGAGAGAAATCAACAGGGACAGGACTCCCTCTTGCAGCTTTCCCCTGACCCCAACAGGAACCACATTCATTTCTGAAAATGAGCAGCCAGTGAGATGAACAGGAATCAAAGGTTTACTGACGGGCAGCGAGGAAGAGGAAGGAAGATACACCAATACAAGGGAGAGGAAGACCGGCAAAGGGCTCAGTCAGCAGAGAACTTCCACCGAGACCACTACACATGGCTACGACTGGTTTTAGCGGTGAACAGAGAACTAGCCCACAATGACACATTTTTCTCAGCAGTGACACTGACAGTGACAAAGATTCGGGGATTCGGGGTAACAACCACAAGCAGCATCTGAAAGAACATGCTCTTTAAAACACTGGAAGGAGAACATAGGACATTTTTTGTTTGTATACTCGTTTTCTTCATAATTTTTCATGTTTTAGGATACCAAAAGTGATTCTGATGGCTGGACTTTTTTTTAATTTTAAGATCATCTTCAATCCATGGATCCATTTCATTCAATGGCAATATTCAATGTTAAAGCGAACATAAAAACACACACACAAGTGCACAGTTTTCATAAAGGTCTATTTCATTACTGGTGGGTAGCACATTTAATAGTAAATACATTAAATAATGCCCAGGTGACCGCAGCACTGGTAACTGGACAGAGAACCAATTCAACTGGAAACCAGCTAACACAAAACTGTCTACATATTTAAAATGCAGCTCTTGTTTAGATCATCAACACAGGACGGTTTTCAGAGGATGGCGTACACTCCAAGGTTCCGGTCCACAGCAAACCTCTCTCGGCAGTGTCCTCATCTGTGCCGTGGAGGAAATAAAGGTCCCTACCACTCACAGGGCTGTTGTGAGAACTGAACAAGTTAGTTCACACAAAAGACTGACAAAGTGCCAGGCTTGCACTAAATACTTATAAGTGTTAGTAGTTATTGTTATCAGCGTAATGTCTGTCATTCAGACACAGCAGCATGGCATGATGCTTTGACAGTTAAAATGGATGGTAGCAGAACGTATAAACTCAGAGACCTGTGTGGTTTCTGTTGCTGTTACTGAAGACAGATTTAATTATGAAATATCATGCTATCACCATGCATAATATTAAAACAGATTATTCATTTCCCAGCAGCTGCCATACCACACTGGTAAAATACACAGCTCGGCTGCAGGCCCTGAGCCCCTCAAAGCCGGCAACATGTGGTTCTGAGAATTCCGCCCAAAGGATGACTTCATTTAAATTAAAACGCCAGCCCAGCCTGTGTGGGTCAGTGTGATTGAGCATCAACCCATGAACCAAGAGGTCACTGGTTCGATTCCTGGTCAGGGCACATGCCCAGGTTTCAGGCTCGATCCCCAGTAGAGGGCGTGCAGGAGGCAGCTGACTGATGTTTCTCTCTCATGGATGTTTCTATCTCTCTCTCCCTCTCCCTTCCTCTCTCTCTAAAAGAAATCAATAAAACATTTTATAAAAATTAAGATGCCAGCCCTGGCCGGTTTGGCTCAGCGGTTGGAGCATTGGCCTGAGGACCAGAGAGTCCCGGGTTCTGTTTCCACTAGGGGCACATACCAAAAAAAAAAAAAAATTAAGATGCCAGACAACACCATTACTGACAAGTAAGACACCCTTACACAAGATATCTGCACCACCACGCCCCACCCCACCCCACCCCCAACCAGTCCCACACAGCGATTGCCTTGCTCAATGTTAAAAATAAAAAATAAAAAGAGAGAGCAAGAGAAAAGACAGCATCCTCTGAGCCACCACATCAGGCCAAGCAGTACCTGTTTCAGTTTTGCTGGAGAAACCCGCTGCCTGTTTGATCGCAGCTGCTGTTAGTGCTAATCCGCGACTCCTCTTCAAGCCATGCTGTAGGACGGCCTCGAACTGGGCACACAGACAGGTCACCCTGTGAGAGAACCAATGATTCATCATCAGTCCACCCTGTGTGAGGTGAGAAACAACCAGAGTGGCCCCAGCATCTCCAGGGAGCCAGTAATTCGCCAGGTGTGAAGGAACACACTACATATGGATTTACAGGCAGGTGATGGCCTTGGGTGGATCCACACACCTCTCCCCAAGTCTGTTCATTTCACATAACTCAGGGAAGCCCCACACAGTCTAGCCATAATCATTAGACTGGTGAAAGCATAATAACAACTCACAAGAAACGAGGGAAAATGGAATCGCAGGCAGCGGGAGAGAAACAAAAGCCAATTTAAAAGCAAATCAGTTTGGTGTAGGGAGGGGTGGGTGTTAATTGTATTCAATTCACTCATTTCAACTCAAATTCATATCACATGTAGTTTAAGGAACAAGATTATCTTTTAAGAGATTGAATTCACCAGCCTGACAAATTGGAAACACTGTGTAATTTCATGGCCTGTTACTTTCACTAAAGAAATAATATGAATTCTGATTCTTGTTCTTTATTTTGTTGTAAGAGTTTATATTTGAAGTCAGATCCAGAGCTGACAGAATTTTCAATTAAGTTACAATTATTGTGCATTTAATTGAATTCATTTCTCAATAACCAAAGAAATGGGAGATTCAGGAACATTTTTGCAAAGAGATGAGGTCACAGCAACTATACTCTATTCTTAATAATCCTCCCAGCACTCCTAGGCCCTAGTTGGATCTGTGGACTTCAGAGACCCTTCCATTCACGTGTGCAACAAACGTTAAGAAATCCTGAATTTCTATGTGCCAGGCACTATTCTAGGCTCTGATGATATGAAGGTGGGGTGAGACACGCAAGGTCTCACCACATTTGCACCGTTCCGACGGGCGGAAGATACACAAACAAATAAGCTAACCAAACCATTTCAGTTGATGAGAACTTTGAAGAAAATAAAACAGAATGAGGTGGTAAGTAGAGGCAGGGCAGGGACCAGCTTAAATTCTGTGGCCTGAAAGTAACCTTGAAGTAAAAGCCTGGATATGACAAGAGACAGCAGGTTGGGTAGAGGGATCCAGTGAAAAGGTCCTGAGGCCACCACCATCCATGTCAACTTGCAGAACTGCAGGCATTTCCTGCTCCACCTACCCCCACACCTGTAATAATAACACTCCAAGGGTTTACTGTTCTGTGGGTGGTAAAATATTTTCATACCCATGATTCATAAGCTCCTCTCATCAACATTATGATATAGGTAAGGCAGGTATTATTATCTCCATTTTACACATAAAGAAACTGAGGCTTAGAAACAACACATATTAAGTACATAATTAGCAGCAACCTCTGTATTCCAGCCCTGCCCATCCCATGATAATCCAAGATAGTTTCTGATACACCCCACGCAACCAAGACAAACATGCTTTATTCTAAAACAAAAGTTCTCTCCTTCCCAAACCCAACCTTTACTCAAGTCATCTGTCTACACCAGAAAACCCTAACACAGTATCAGCAAATACCAGCTCTTGCACATTTACTCTCAATTCTGTGCCCATGAGAGACATCACTAATCCATCCCAGCATTCTGGGCTATCACTGCCAATGATCAAAGCTGGCCCTCCACTGGAAAGAAGACTATTTGGCATCCCAAACCTAACACTTGTCTTCAACTACACTATTTGGTTTCCAACTCCTACCTTGTCTTCCTGGCTCCCCTGCACCTGGTATATAGCATATGCTACATAAATGCTTTTGCAGTGGGTAGGTAAGTAGGTAATTAACCTTGAGCCATGGGTCCCAGAATTATCCTCTCCCACTTCCCCCCAACACTGAAACAACCCTTTTGCTAGGTCAATGTCACTGTCAAATATTAGATGTGCATATGCTGGTCTCTCTACATATCCATGCAGGTACACATTTGAGAGCTTCTTAAAAGCTGGGACACAAAAACTATCTAATTTCCACAGGAACCAAACAGAGGCATGCCAAAATACAGCTTGACCAGGGCCGTCTCAGGGAGGAAAACAAAACAAAACCATGGGCTGTCCTTTACAGTTTTCCATAATAAACCATAGCCTGTACCTTTAAACAAATTATCTGCAAATACAATGATTAACTAGGCAATCCTCGTCAGTTTGCTTGGCTCCGATGCACTGCACGAGTCAGTGACTGCCCTGACAACTCTGGATAACACCAGGCCCCTAATGGGAATGGAATGCAGATGAACAGCACAAACCCAGTCCCTAAGGTTTGGGTTACATCAGCAGAATTCCCCTCCAGATGCACACAGGTCACAATCAACCTAACACCACAGAAAACTCAGGTGGGCTCTAGTCCTACAATCAGTTCACTGTGATGCCTGCCTTGCCGAAGGCCGTTCTACTTAACATCCTCCCTGTGTCCCCTTTTCACCTCCCCATTTGACCTGAGCTACTGGTCCTTTAAGACTCAGCTTAAAAGGGCTCCTCCTCCAGGAAGCCTACCTGAATGCTTCCTCATTCAGAGCTTCTTTCTACTACAGTTCTTGGCCAATCTCTGTTACTGCTCTTCTTTACACGGCTGTCTCCTCTTGTTAACTTGAGCTCCCTGACAGCAAGGATCATGCCTCATTCATCTTAGTTGCCCCAGCATCTAACACGATGCCTGGCTACTGTGCTAAACATGACCAAAATGAGTTCTCCTCTCAGGGAACTCAGAATATGGATTTGATAATATATTAAGGGAGAGATGCATCTCAGGAGATCTTGCTTAATTTGTAATCCAAATCCAGGTCAATTAATACTAGTGAATCAAGGAGAACATACATGTCCAACCTCATGAATCTAAAGCCCTTTAGCTTGTGGTGAGCACTCTATAGGTACGGATGTATAGCCATGTTACCTTAACGTTTTTCATTTCTTCTCATCTTTACTCAGTTACATGATAATTCCTGCGAAATGAAAGGGGTGCCTGCTTTGCAGAGCTCTCTATTTTCTCATTTAGCCTCTCCTAGGTCCCAGAATGCTCTCTGCTAAGTGCTCCCAGGTATTACTGTGGTGGGTTGGCTGCCTCCAAGGAGTTATCACTCTGACTTTATTATACATTAATGAATTGGGGCATGTTTTATAATTAAGTGGGGCACTTAATCAACAGTGAATGTTTTAATGTTTTCAAAAAGCACCCATCAAGGAAATCACTTCAAGTTTTTAGGCACACAGCTGTTTACCAGAGGAATGGATAAATAAAACGTGGTATATCAATACAATGGAGTATCATCGGCAATAAAAGGAATAAAGTACTGATACATGTTACAACATGGATGAACCTTGAAAATATTAAGCTAAGGGAAAGAAGTCAGACCCAAAAGCCACATTTGATATGATCCCACAAAATGCTGAGAAACTGAAAGTCGATAAGTAGTTGCCTAGGGCTGGGAGTAAAATCAGGGATAAACTGTAAAATGGCACAAGGGAACTTTTTGGGATAATGAGAATGTTCTAAAACTGGATTGTGGTGATGGTTACACAATTCTACAAATTTAATATTTAAAAAATCATTGCGGAGGGTGTCTATGGAGAAAAAGGTGAAACATCTGTAACAAAAATAAATGAAAAACGTTTTTAAAAATCACCACATTGCACACCAACAAGGTATAAATTTTTATGGTATGTGAATTAGACTTCAATAAAGCTGTTTATAAAAAAAAAAACTTCCCTCAAGGTCTTGGTAAAAGTTTGATGAAGGAATGAAGGGGTTAATGATTGAAAATGAAACACGGTCCTCCTGCTGAATGCAAAAGCACCCACCAGAACCAGAACAGCTGGATACTGCAGGAGCTTAACTAGTTTGCTGCTAAAATTACAGAAGCATTGGTTTCCTGAGCTTTGTCCTATATTTCAAGACTGCTTAACCTGCCACATTCGTCTGTAATAAGATTCCTAAGAATCCTGTGCTTTTTTTATGGCAACTGTCAGAACAAGACAGAATCAGTAATCAATGCTGCATTTTTACAAACTGCATCAAATTAACTTTGTAACAGAAGGGTATATTTCAAATTAATCCTGTTACTACATTACAGCTTTACTGGAAGCTTTTGGGAAAAACCAAGTGCAAACATGACAATGGACTCAATTATCCACATGTGGAAAGCTCCAATGTCACCTGGAATGGGGTCCATTGTACCCATGAAAACCGGTCAACTAATAGCATTCGCCACATCTCAGGTTTAAGACAGTACAATTATCAGCTAGACTTGCTAAAGCAAGGCTATTACATGACAATCATTTGAAATGGACCATGCCCTACATTTATGTTTTATAAATTAAGTTTCAAAAAGGTTCACACCCTTTAAACCATGAATTTTACTGGCAGAAATCAATCCCTGGCTGTAGTCTACAAGTCAGATAAATATTTAAGGTAAACAATGGAACAGAACAGAGAGCCCAGAAATAAACCCACACCTATATGGTTGATTAATACATGCCAAAGCAGAGGGGAGGGAGCAAGGGGCCTGGATGGAACAGGTGAAGAGATTAGGGGGGGAAAAAACCTTCATAGACAGACAACAGTATATGGTGATTACCAAAGGGAAAAGAGGGTAGGGGAGGTAGGAGAGGGTAAAGAAGGGATAAATGATAATAGAAAGAGAATTGACTTGGGGTGGTGAACACACAATACAATATACAGATGATGCAATATAGAAAAAATAGGCAGTAAATTCTCTGACACTGTTCTTATAATATTTCTTCTGAAATATCTCCTCAAGCCAGGAAAACAAAAGAAAATGAACAAGTGAAACTATAGTAAAACTTCAATATAACAGACTAATTTGGGCAAGGAGATGTCCATTAAAGCCAAAAGTCCATTATATAATAAAGTAGGTTTTCTGAATGTGTATGTAAAAAATAGACAAACTAGTTAGTTCACCTGTTTTTACTTATATAGACACTTGTGTAATTAAAATTAAGTATGTATGAAAAATTTAATTTCACAGAAACGTTTTCTATATATATATCACTGTAATTTTAAGATTATAC